CTGTTTGTTTGTTTGTTTGTTTGTTTGTTTGTCATCAACATAACTCAAAAAGTTATGGACCGATTTTGATGAAATTTTCAGGAACTGTCAGAAGTGGGCCAAGGAACAGATATTTGCTTTTGGTGGTGATCTGTATCAATAATCAATCAATAATCAATAATCAAAAATATCGAAAATTTAGGGGTGAAACTTCATTGAATGGAGGCTTTGTTGCCTTGGCGGAGGTCTACGCTCTCTGAGTGCTTTTCTAGTTTAATTATGTTTTTATTAGAAGTTAATGAATGTAATTATTTGTTTCTCAGATTCCACGGCAGAGAGTAATTTACATGTGCCCACCGAAAGTATGGTAGAAGATCGCCGACCGTCTTTTACGACAGAGGACGGGAACTTTCCAAAGTTAGACATCCTGGAGGCGGATGTGTTTACCGGTAGGTTGTGTTCTGTTGTGCTGAACCCGCCTTCAGTGTTGCCCACTGGCTTTACGCTGAACATCAGTAAAACTGAAGGCGTTCCAGTAAAATATATTATAAAATCTAATCGGTTTAATGGCGACTACTTTGTGCTGTGAATTACTAAGTCGTGGTGGCCCTTCATACCGACCCGTGGACCTCAAGAATGTTCGCGCAGTGTGAAGGGAACAATATTTGCAGTCAAACATTTACAAAGTGCATGTATATGATTTTGGAAATGAACACCTGAAAAGTATTATGTGGGTTTATGTCTTTTTTGTTTTAGTAAACTGCAACAAATCTTTACATTATTTTCAAATTTTCAGTTTGCGTTTATTTTCTATTCTCCCAATGCAGTTAACCCAGTGTTTGAAGAGGAAGAACGTGACGAACTCGTCAATCCAATGTGGACGGAGGACGAGGGCCTTAAGGACGGTCCTATAGTTCTTCAAGAAGAAGCGGAGACACAGTTTTGGCAAGACCTCATCAAACAATACCTGTTCCCTTTAGAAAACGACCAAAAGCACCAGGAGCACATGGCTGCCGAGCTAAAAACTTTGCGCAACAAGGTCACATTCGCCATCTTTCTTCTGAACGCGATTTTTGTGGTGGTAGTATTTGTGCTCCAAAAAGAAAAAGATAAACTTTCTATACCTTGGCCTTTTAGTTGTGGGTATAATGCCACGAAGAATTTGGAGTTGGAACCAATTGGGACGGTTTTCTTGGTATTCTTCCTGTTGATTCTGCTCATTCAGCTTCTAGGGATGATAGCTCATCGTCTGCTGACCTTCTGGCACATCATATCTACCACACCCGTATCTGGAAAACTTGATCAAACTGCCGCGAAGATCGCTCTTGTGCGCGACTTACAACGTCTTCCACAGGGCGATGACGATTCCGACAGGATGTCAGTGTGCAGCTTCACCTCCGGTGCCTCTGACGATGAGTTCAATTTCGCCAGAGAGAGGAAGAAGTCATTCGCAAAACACGTCAAGAAAAAGAAGAAGACAGTTAAGGAGGGATACGCCACTATGAATAAAGCATTTGTTGAGCGCTTCTTGGCATTGTCTGACCAAGGGCCTGAGAAATTTCAGCAACAACATGGACGGCGGCACACAATGGCTGGCAGCTACCAGGATCGTAAATGCAAGCAAGCTCTAGCAAGCTTAGCCGATGAGTGGGACCAGGTTTTCCAAGAAGAGAAGATTTCCAATTTACGTAACAAATGGAAAGGGGCAGCCAGGGCCATCCAGCTCACCCGAGCGTTTCAACTGAAGAAAGGTGTTAAGGCACAAAAAATTGAGACTATCAACGAGTCGGCGGAAAGCTCTGGAAGCGGTACGTTTGATGTACCGGTCGTGCCGAACAAGGAGTACGATAACCCTGTGTTCGAGGGAGATGAAGGAGTGTATACCGACATACCTGGGTCTTATCCCGCTGACACACCTGGATCTAGTCTCGCCAACACACCTGGATCTAGTCCCGCTGACACACCTGAAGCTAGTCTCGCCAACACACCTGGGTCTATCCCCGAAATTATATCTGATAATGACACAGACGTTCTTTGGAGTGAGAAATTGTAAAAAGTGCATTTGAAGTCATTTTTTGCCACAAAAGCCGATCAAATGTCACCATTTAGTTCCAAATAGTACATCTTAGATAGAAAAATAACAAATAACGTTGTTGCATATTACCCGAAAAATGATATTTAACGGAATTTTTTCTGCTCGCTATGTTTGAACGGTTCAGATAAGAAGGTCAGATAAGTAAGGTCAAAGGACCAAAATTTTCAAGAAGGTGCAGTTTTTAATTTAATTCTTTTATGGCTGATGGAGTGATTAATTCGGTTTAGCCTTTGGCATGTTGACTTTATTCAACTTTGAGTTTATGTGTGTAACTGGGAATCCACGCTCCACCGATGCTAGGGTCAAATGTACTTTTAAGAATTTGGTTCAGAAATTTGCTCACTTGCATTGTTTTGCTAAATTCTTTTATATGAGATGGATATATAATAGAACGCTATTTGGCTTTTTTTTTAACATATATTTTTTGTATATATACTAGTAGCATTGCATTTCAATGAGTCATGCATTTTGGATATGTTTGTATTGTACGTATTTGTAAATCATATAGAAGAGAAACCTTTAATATAATTTCAAATGATTTCTAGAAATCAGTTGTCTCATATAAATTAGTATAATAAAGCGACAATTCCTTACTATTATATTCACAGTTACAGTTCCAAGAACTGTGATGACGTAGGCAGCCCGTTAGACCAACGTTATTTCTATCCTATCCTATCGTATCCCTATGTAAACATTTGCACAAGAAGTGATATCGATGCACTTCTGAAAATAAATTGATCATTGAAAATTTTGATACAGAGCTTCACCACACACTGATGCCTTCCATGAGCATTTATACTTTAAGGACTTATTCCCAATGAAACTGTCGTTCTACGTAGATCGATCGAAATCCACGGGGACTTTCGCTGAATGCAATCAGATACCCTTATTAATAGGTGTATCAGTCAGATACACAGATTAAAACACCCATTCTTTCCTATGTACTTGTTTAATCGCCAGCTTTTCTATATTGTACTGAACGCCAGGAGTTTCATTGGGCTTCATTGGGAATGGACCCTTAGATAACACCTCTTTTCTGCTTTCGGTGAAACGATTTCATCTCATGCATATATATATATATATATATATGTCACAGAGATAAATTTTTCGACCTAACGTCATTAAAATTAAAATCCATTTGATATATTTCCATGATAAGATATGATTTAGCCAAAGTTGACGCTGGACACGTATTGTACCTCTAACGTGGACATGTAAATATGCTTAGAATTGTACACAACGCTTTTACTACCACGCGGACATACAATGTATGGGGGACGATGACGTAAACGCCTGATTGAATACCCCACCATACTTGTCAAATAAATGTCTATTTCATTAGATTCACTGTGATACCTTGTAGTGTTGAGGATAGCTGTGAGGTTGAAGTATTTATTTCTTTATTTGATAGTCTATCAAAAATGTCTCCGTATTTATTTATTTTCGAGTTTATTTAAGATTTTGTTGTTCTCAATATAAACAAGACTTCCCTAGGGGGATCATACCATAGTTCACATGCCTAGAACACTAGGCACGATTCAGCTAGCACACAATGCCCCGGAAACCTGGGGGTTTTTTTAAGCCTGATTATCTGACACACCCATAAAAAAAGGTGAATGTACAGTGTAGGCTGCGATCTATATGAAATAGTATTTTGTCATCCCCGTGCTGGTTGCCCTATGGCCGGTGAAGGGCCGCGGGAGAAAAGGATTTGAACTTTGATACCATTAATGAAACGCATAAAATCGTATAAATCTGAAAGATTTTCCTTGTTAATGAGAAAATGATAGTTCTCTTTTATGAATTTCTAAAACTCTTATTTTGTTGTTCAGTTCTTAGGTGTTCTTCCATTTGAACCATTTAAAACTTTTTTTAGTTATAGTCACGTAAACTGTCGCAAATTAAGGGAGACGTAGATAATTAAAGTCACAATGATTACGATATCTATATAAAAGACATTAGGTGTGGGTAGTTGTGTGTGGGGGGCGGGGGAGGAAGGACGCCCTTGGTTTAAATAGATAAAATATAAATAGGTTTATGACACAGGCCAATTATCAGGAAAGCAATGTAAATTATCAGGTACGGAATGTAAATTATCACTATCACAGTGCCTAAGCATCCGTTACCCTCAAAGTTCACAAACGGTAACTTCCCGACCCACGGGTCAATTAATGTTTATGTAAATTGTGGCATTCATGGCTATATTCTAAACACCTTCCTTTAAAATTTTTCGTTGTCAATATAGCAAAACACGAATTCATTCGACGCGGATATTTTTTGTGCACGAATCTGCTGCTCGCAGAGGGTCAACTACATGTTTAAGATAGTCAAAGAATGTCTTACTCCTCTAGGCTAACCCCTAGGCTTGCCCTTTTGATTAAAACACAGACGATCTTCACATTTGTTGGAAGACACAGGAGATGTTCATATCTAATTCATTGTGTTAATATAAGGGAAGCAAGCTTTTTCCCTCTTTTTCTTTATTTTTTCACGATCGAAATACTGGCCCACCCCGTGACTTCTGGAAAAAGGGGGTTTTCTGAAATACTACAAATACGAAAGCTGTTGGTACCGCATCTACACTTGTTTGAGCGTGCGTGCGTGCACACACGCACACACACACAAACACACTAAAAATCAAACTAACATGCACGGACTTGTATAGAAAAATTCTAAGAACTCGAAGTCTATACTTATTATCATTAATTTCTAGCGGCTGTCAGGGTAAGCTTATAACTGCACGAGCATTTTTATACTATCAACAAAATCAACAAACAAAACAAACAGTGCCACAAAAGTCCCGCTGGACGGAAACCTCTAATACCGTCAGTGTCTGCACGGGTCAAAGTGCGGCCTTCGTAATAACTGATAATCTATGCACTTATTGAAGTGCGTTTTTTATTGGCCCAATCACTGTGGCACTGTATCCGGTTGGAGTAAGACCGGTCGGTAGTTTCGTGGCTAATCATTGACAAGTTTACCACTGGATGATGTCGTATAAAATGACGTCGGTTTTGTCACTAGAAATGTGACACTGTGACGATCTTTCGTGATCATTTGTTTCTAACCTGCCCGATACTTGTATCAGTTACGTAAGTTGCGGCGCCGGTACGGCAAGTCAAACTTTTTGATTGCCGTTTCGAGAGTTCTCGTCGTTTCTTCTTATCAGCCATCGCTCCGAATAGTGAAAAGAGCGTTAGCTAAGTTTTATCGGCAGAAAAGGGCTGTAAGCGTAATAGGTGACTTCTGGAAATACAATGTCAGACACCGAAGACGATATTCTAACGCCGCTGCCAGACCCGGGGGATGTGGAAATTACCCCTGGGAAGTTTGATTCGGCGATGAACGGTGAAATCGGACATGTGGTTCGTAAGGGATCTCTTTTCGGTTTAGAGCAAAAAAATCCAACTTTATTTAACATGGAAAATTTCACTTTTAGTACTGGATTAAACAGATTTGGTGGTAATCGTTTGCGAAGGGAGAGCGAAGCCAGCGAGGCAGAAACCTTGCCTGAGTTGAGCGATTCAGAAGATGAAGACGAAGATGAAGATGAAGACGAAGAGGACCCTCCGGCTTACAAACATTTAGATACTCCAAATGAAAAGACAGAGATAGAAAAACCACCACCGTTCCCGACGTCACCACCCCCCTCGCGGAGAAAGTCAGCAATGAAGATGCCAAAAGAGCAGGGCGTAAAGTAATGTCGAGTTTTCATACATTTATTGTTATTAAAAAATCGTCCTGTTTGTGATATATGTATTTAACCTCCTGTGCTGCATGCCCATCTTCTCAATCTCTCTCTCTCTCCCCCCCCCTCTCTCTCTCTCTCTCTCTCGCGCACACACACACACACACACACACACACACACACACAGCAGTTCATAAATGAAAATTTAAAAAACTACTCATTATTCCACAGGCCTAAGGGACCCGCCGCCAAGCTTTGGGACATTTTCCGTATAACATCACCGGACAACGAAGAACTCTCAGAGAGCTGGTGCCTAGAGGTAACCAAGCGGGTCTGCAAGGTGATCGTATACTGGCTTCTCCTCTTCTTCATCCTCGGGTCGACCGTCATCCATAAAATCACGCTTATGATCTCGGTGGCCCAGTCGAGGACAGAAAAGTGGCTGACTTGCGAGGTTGACATGTTTGGGAATTTGACGAACTGCATAGTGGATCCGGGAGTTCACAAAAACACCAATTTGACGGATAGGGTTCGCTGTGATGAGGTCTCCGTGAGATGGATATGGGGGCTTGCAGCCACCATGTGTTTTCCCTATCTGCTAACTTTCATGCAGTGTCTATTCAAGGTTCTCTTCAAGGTAACGTTGTGGCCGAGTTTGGGAACGTTCTTTGCGGTAAGTAGACTCCGTGTATTTATTCTTTATATTTTTCTGTTTAGTTGTATTTAGCTAATCAACGAGGCGAAAATGAAGGGCCCGATTTGATATCTACAAGATGCCTTTTCTGTAACTTTATTTTTTCTATTTGTTTATATTTCTATTACTTTTATTTTGTTAGCTACTTTTGTACTTATATTTCGTCTTTTTATGCATGTTGAAATCTATAAAGAAAAACCTAAAACCGATAAAATTGATATAAAATACGGTCTTCAACCATCCAACCCATAACATTACCAAGTTATAAATGTAATAGTGTATTTTTCCTTATTCCAATCAGTAAGTCAGTGTATTGAAGCTTGCAATTTTGTCTTAGTCTGTCTAGACAGAAAAATGCAAAGTAATACTTCTGTCAAATATATTCAATTCCGCTTAGATCTGTGTGGGTCCAATGGTGATCAAACAATACACTTTAAGTAATTTTGTGAAAAAGAAGCTGCGTGAAAATGTTATTGAAATCCAAAGCAACTGATTGTCTCTGTCTCTGTGTCCCAGTTAAACAATTTTCGCCTGGTGATTTTAGAATTATAATAATGTTATAGATAAAGTGGCTGATAGCATAACAAGAAATCTAGGTATTCGCGTATGTTATCACTTATATTCATGTTCCCTGCAAATTGAGAAAGAATGAACTAGGAATAGTTGGAGACAAATATTGGCCGGGTGCGATTTAAAGCACTGATATATATACCTTGAAAAGAGAGAGAGTGAGAGAGAAAAAGGGAGAGAGAGAGAAAGGTCAATTTCTCATCTACAGTCCAGTAAACAGAATAGTACATATCAATGATTTACAGTAACTGAGTGGACAGTTTAAATGCCGTAACTTGAAATAAGGAGATAAGCGTCAAATAAATCACATGGGTGTGGTGCACTTATAACAGTTTCTTAATGACTATACTTTAAGAAGTAGAAAAAATACTATCTCAAAAAGGGATTTCATAAGCCATGAGTGTTGGAATTTGGATCCGGCATTCACAACCGCCATAATCTAAAAAGATGTGCCGATATATGTAAATAAATCTGTATTTAGAATATAAGGAGCGCGTGGGTGTAGTTTAAACAAATGATTTGAGCTTACACTAAAGAAACTTGCAACGATCATCCAACCACGGACGATTGTAACGAATGGACATGGGTATATAACTTCTTCGGCTCTTCTCGGAACTCTGCCTTACGAGGCAAACTAAATACAGCCAAGTTGCTGACGCTCCTCTACCCTTATCAGCATGATGCCGAGGGCCATTACGCCCCCCGGCTGATACTGAACACACACAACTGTTGACATGTTGACATAAGTACATTGCTATGAAGGAAACACCCTGTTCAAAAATTACAAAAATCAATTCATGATGTCACTAAAATTTTGTTCACAAGTTCATTACCACTCCTGGTAAATTAAATAAAAGTGCTGTTAAAATGGGTCTCAATATTATTATTTGTTTATTTTTTATTTTTATGATTCTGTAGACTGTAAATAATTTTCTTATCATTACGTACCACTTATGTTAGACTCTGTACCGAGATCTCTTTTTCCAGGATGAGACAATGCAAAGAAACTAGAAATATTATATTCACAGAGTGGTTCGAAAACAAGCCTAAAGGTGTATACAAAATATGCTGAAATAATTGAGGCAAAATTTTATCAGATGAATATTTATTATGATTTAATAGGGAAAAATTATGTGAGATTTGGAGTTGAAAGTCGACGAAAAGCAAGTTCAGTCTAACACGACTGTTTATTTGCTTTTGGTCTACATCGATGACACATTATTTTTTTCATATCACATAGTGAAACAATTATATTATCAAACTTAAATTAACTTTTCCCCTACAACGAATTTCCGCAATTTTAAATATATCAGTTTCTATTTATACACCAATTTTAGGAATCAAGATAAATTTCGGTAGAAGGCAAACCCGGAAGTCATCAATCTATTTATGTGCAACTTAACATTTTCTGTATGTCTGCTTCATTTTTAAGTAACTGGCAACAAATGCTTATCTGTTTACAAAGTAAATTTTGAGGGCTAGACATTAATGTTTTAAAGAACAGCGCATGGAATTTTGTCGAGACAAACAACACGTTTTCCTGGTGACGTGGACAATTTTTGAGCGCTTGACTCAAGTTAAGGACTGATTAAACCCCAATTAATCAATCAATAGAAAAAATAAAAAGATTAAGAAGAAGACTACCCTTGGGATTTCGATATGCCTGATTGTTGCAGATTTGTAATTAAAGTAAATATGGAAGACGATTTTGTCTTTCTTTTTATTGTATAGATGTAATCATTGTGTCATGAAGCCTTTATTTCGCCACATCCCTCATTTTCCCTGTTGGACGTGTACATTTGTTATGATTACTGTCCATCAGAGACCTCACTTGCTGTTCTTGCAGTTATAGAATCGGTCGAAGGACTTTAGCCCCTTAAGTACAGTGTAAGAGCTAGAGAGACCTTGCTAGGGAGTATATTGTTATTATACCTATATCCTCAATGAAAATTGTTTTGAGGCCCTGTGTCCACATTCTCAATTATCTCCAGCTAGAACGGCCGTTCAGCACGTTAGCACACAAGGCTACTGTTAGAGCAGCATAGCAACTATATCCACTATTACGCCACAGCGTTCTGAAATATCAATGATATCGTTTAGAGTTAATACTTAACAGGGCCAAGGGATTAGGCGGAAAAGTGGACATCGTATTTCATAGTTACATGTACTCTTTACCGGGGACACAGATCGATTTTCACTTTATATTATGTCTCTGGCTAAGTATGTGCACTTTTCTTTACTTTGAAAATTAGTTAATCGAATTGAAGTCACCAGTCAGTTGACCTCAGGTACTTCACAGTACATTTGGCCCAACGAGGTTGAAAGCGTTTTTAGCACACGGAAAAAATTAAATTCGTACATATGCAGGATTTATAAAAAATCTCATTGATGAAAAAAATGATCATCCCTGGACAATAATTGCAAAATTGGCCCACGATGGGTTGATCTGCGATAAATGATTTAATTATTGTTTGGTAAAGTGGCTGGTCTGTCTTGCTCATGAAAACAAAAAAAAAAAAAACATTTCACTCTAAATCTGCTGTTGACAGGAATTCACCTCGATGAAAAAACCTTTATTTATTTGAGCTGTCAATTGTGCCTGATAAATGTACAGTATAAGGCATTTCGTTTGTTTTGCAAATGTTTGAACATTGATAAATTGTTTAATAAAAAATTGATAAGGCCTGTTCTTCATATATATTGTAAAATATTTTAAGACCAAACGGGAGTTAGCAGGGAAATAAGACTTAGGGTGGTTTATTAGATAAAGCTTTTAAATTGTAAGTACAAGATTTCTACAAAAATGTTTAAAAAGTTAAATAAAACTTAATACCTATTCCTCTTCTCGTAAAGAAACAAATATCTTATCGTCTGTGCTATTCTAACATATGATGTTCACTAAAACAAATAAAATCCCGTCACTTATATATCTTAAATAGTAAAAAACGACACTCTATGCATTTATTAGCCACTACAATGCGCCATAAAGTTATTTAACTTATTTAGCACCGTACGCCAACGCTTTTTGTGGAAGGCAAGTTCCATTTTGTTGTTTGCCAATGATAAAGTATGCCTTATCTCCCTATTAGAAAAGGCACTTCAATATAAAACAAGATGCAGCTCATATATCATGTTATCAATGGGCATTTTTAAGTACTTAATTTTCAAGAGCTTGGGTGCCTTAAGTCGGCGGTTTATGGGCAAGAGTCGAGAGTCTCTTAAATATATTGACCATAAGAATCCTTCGTTTAAGAATATTGACCAGAGACTAACTACAGTTCGTAAAATTAGTGTGGATAGACTTCATCGAATTTAAAAGTCGAATTTAGAAGACAAGGGGAGTGTATTTTGCCGAATGGTTTTGCTTATTTTATTTGCGGGAGGGGGTGGCACATGTATAAATATTTTTGACTCTCTTCGCTCTGCATCTGAGAAATAGCATAGTGAGACATTTTACTACAATATGTGGGACACAGGGTTAGAAAAATTGCTTATTTCTTATTTCAGTATAGGCCTATTGTTTATTATTAAACGTGTCTCCGCTTTGTACCCCCGCTTTGAATTCCGTTCTTCAGATACTGACTGTGTTCTAACCAGGTGTTGTCCCACAGATAACGTGCCCCCTCCCGCCTTCCGCAGTGATTTTCCTTGATTCATGAACTCTTTTCACTTACAGTCAAAGGCCTGGGGCAATTTTTGTATGAAATTTAATCGATTATGTAATTGATAGCCACAATGTTATTTAACTCCGCTATATTTTTAAAAACTTTATTTAAACATGTTAAGTAAAGGGTAAAACATGTTTAGTGTGCACACTTATCTTACATATAGACTTATTCCATGTTTTGAGTATTTACTCTTCATAAATTGTATGAAGCACTGAGATTCGAAATTAATTTAAAACAAATAGTAGTGCATTAGGTATGGATCACAAGTATTAAAGAAATACATTACTGGGAACATTTCCCTTCTCCCTGATATGTTCACGCATACACTGTACAAAACAAGCCCTTGTCTCATTATAACATACATGTAATAAGAGAGTTTAAGCCTTTTACCAGTATCTTTGTGTATTTTTTTTAACAATTTAGTGTAACTTATTTTCTTCCTTTTTAAGGAGAGCTTGCAATTGTGAATATGAATAAACGTTGGTTTAAAAGGCACTATCTGTTAAAGTACTTCTAATTTCTTTCAGTGTGTGGTTAAGTTAAAATTGTGTATCGAGGGGAATGAGTAAGTGAACTAAAAACCCATCTCATGGCATATTTACATGTGCTAGGATACGAGAGAGAGCAGGGGCGGATCCAGACATATTTTCTGACAGGCTTCCAAATTATCTTTATTGTTCCATCCTCCATTTTTGACCGTCTTCCGACAGGAAAAATTAGATACCCGTCAATGTAAACTTGAAAGTACTCTCAGAGTACAGGAGGAGAACCTATAGATATCTTGTGGCTTGTGAGTACTGATTGCTATAAATGCTTGGTGTGTTAGTTGAGATTATTGGAATTTTTGAGCACTTAACGTGATTCATGATTGTGCTTTAAAGGACAACATGATTGTGCTATTTCCTTTTCATCCAAAAATAGACATATTCCATATGTTTCATTCCTCTTTGAACATCAACACACTTGAAACGTTGCATTCAACATGTTTTGAAAACTTTTTATATGAAATGTGTAGATGATACGGCGCCTGTCGGTTGAATAACTGAATAACTATGAATAACTATGCACATACAAAATGTTAAATCTGTTACAGTGGTGCAAGTGTAATGATCTTATTCTGAATGTCAGTAAAACCGTGGAAATGACAGTGCTTTTGAAAAAAAACGCAAATGTGAAAACATCGTTGTTTTGAGAATGCAGTAGTAAAAAGACGAATTAAAATCCTGGATAACCATATTAACAGTTTAACTGTCAGTTAAAACTAACTTATAAATACATGACCGATAACAGTGCAAATAAAGCAAGACAAACACTGCACTTTTTAACACTCAGAAATTCAATAGACGTTGAGACCGTTTTGATTACCTTTTGCAAATGTGCAATTGAGAGCATTTTAATCTTTGGTATTAGCATCTGGCAAAGCAGAGCTGCAGTATAACGTTATCAACACCGCCATTAAAATAATTGGGAGAGTTTACTTGCTCAACGCATGGAAATTTTGGTTGATTAAGACCGACTTTCAAAAAGGCCTTTGTCGTATTGAAAGAATGCTACCAGAAATAATAAAACTGTTAGTGCCAGTTCATTCATGTTTTATTTTTATGATGTAATTCAAGTCAACAAAATTTTGGAATCTGAACAATCTGAGCACATCCAATTTTTTATTTTGAGACGTTTTTATCTTCGTCATTCAGTATTATTGTTTTTATTATTTTTATTTAAGATAAAAATTAAATTTACGCTCCTTTACATCATACAGGGCTGAATGAAATCCTTTTCGCTATTTGACGAAATGGCTTGACAATTGGTATGGGTATTTTTCCGACGTTCTTTAAAAGAAAGTTTACTACCTTGTACTGGTGCTGTGCGGTCGTGATTACTTATTTACTGGTTTGGTTTTTCGCAAATAAAACCCAACGTATTAATACAACCGGAACAGTCGCAGTCGTCAAATTCGTAATCAACAAAGTCGTCTCTACCAATCCACAGCATCATACACTCGCTACCATCAGGTTGGACATCACCTTGCACCCCTTCAGCTTTCTTCCATCCGTCGTAGGTAACAGTCTTCCCAGTAGGCACCCAGTAGTATTGCGGTTTGAGGAGAGCTTGGCGAACGGCTTTTGGCAAACCCCAGCTGACGTCAGAGGAACCAGGGCGTCTCTTACCCCCCACAAACCAGCCTTGGAAAGTACCTTGCTTAGTAATGGCTGAAACACAGTATATTTCACAAGTGTTTGTTGAGTAATCTATGTTTTTGATGGTTTCATTGTTGTTGTTCTTTTTTCAAGTGAAAGTTTAGCTGTTAAAAACGTCGCGAACTTATTTAACTTGTTTGTTGTCGATGATATAATAGGTGAAAAACCACTAGATAGAGCGTTAAACTTGCATTGTTTAGACAGTAAGGTATAGCAGCAGTTTACAATATTTATTTTAAAGAATTCTTCTCATAATGGCGTAAAAGCGAACTTACGTTTAAGATTTTTCTTAAGGAACTCGTGTTCCTCCTTGGATTCAATGGTAACTAGGTCAGCTGACTTTGCTTGACAACGGGCTCTGGCCTCGTCCCAAGTTAATTGTGCAACATTAGACTTGAAATAGTAGAAGGAATCCTCAAAGCTGACGAAATCATCTGGACATGGTTTTGCTGTTTATGAAAAATAAAAGATATCGTAAACGATATTCTGCAACTAGTAACTCATAGGAATACATGGTAATTAAAATTTCATACCCAATATGAGAATCACAGATTGATTTTTCACCAGATATTCACGGATGTTTCTTTGGCTAATTCTGTGCAACTTTCTGTACGAGATAATTTGCACGAAATGGACACCATTACAGTGACGGATTAAGGGGGTGTCGGGGGGAGGGAGGGGGGTCCTGACACCCCCTTCGATTTCTGAACAAAATTACACCAGTGGTACCCTCTTAAAATTAAAAATTTGACAAGCTGAATAATAGTTCTAAACCCTACCAAATGGCACCGTTCACCATCTAAAATACCAAAAATTATTTGGGGCCCTTTAGCGGGCCCCGAACCCCACGCCAAGGGGGTGGGGGTGGTAATGGTGGGCTTTGCACCCGCGGACCCCCCCCCCCCCCTTCAAATAATCTTGGATCCGCCCTTGCATTATTCAGCTGGCCTCTGGTAGAGACTTGTAATTTTAAGAGTTTGCTTCAATTTCCAATTGTTAAAACACTATCATGAACAGTTTTATTTGACCATGTTTAGATAAGGTGGCGAAAAACAATAAACCAACAAACAACATTGAATGTTTTAAAATTAAATTACGAACATCCTCCATGGTAATTGATTTTTTCATTAATCTTTACCGGAGATATGCTTTTTATCCATATCATGTTAATAAGTAATACATTGGATGCTATGGGTGGTTGATAAATATAAACGCTCAAAACACACTACTGCCTATCCCCTGATTGGTCTAACCTTAACCTTATTCGGTTAATTTACCTTCCTGATCCACGAATTATCTCGTATACTGTCTGTATATGCATCAGCCAGCTGGAGTCATGAACGGCAGGCACGTGTTAAAGGTGCCTTATCAAGGAGGCGTCTTGTTTGTTTTCGCACCTATTTGTGATATTCAGTGAATAGCAATAGTGTTTGTGATATACCGGTATGATATTATACATATCTTGAATAAACTGAGTACCTGGATCATAGGGCTTATAATTACTTATTAGGGATGTAGACAGAAACACACCTATGATTATAAACAGGATAGCAACAGCTGATTAATGGCCAAAAAATAAATAAATAAAAGTAAATAAATAAATGAAAATAGATAAATAAATAAAGACTAACAAACGCCTTTTCGAAGGATATTCAAAAGGAATAATTGAACAAAATACATATTTATGCCTTACCGTTAATAGGAATAAGATTTATTAATGGTAGTGATTTGACCTTACACACACCACTGTATTTAAGATCTGCCTACAGTCTGTTCTTGAACACCACACATACATGGACATACGATTAAAAAAATCTCTTAGAACAGGACATGTAGAATCTTTATTGCCATAGCAGGCACGCAAGTAAAAATATTCAGCAGGCTTACCATCCTCCCCCACTCCGCTAAAAAGGGAAAGTATTGCGAAATTTTGGGTTAATTTTGGGCATTTGACGCTGGTAAGGGGCATGCTGAATTCAGTTTGTTTTGGCGAAGGGGGCATATCTTCCCATGTTTGTCTGGATAAATCCTACAGTGTGCGTTATACCTTTATATAGAAAAATTGACAACTTTTTAAAGAAAGTATTAAATTAAATATATAAAAGTAAAAAAATCGAAAATGAATATTTATACCGGCAAATTGCAACACTTTTCCCTCAATTACCAAGGTATAGGCCTAAACCGCCTTCGTAATAGAAGTGAAGACTTTCGAAGTTCAATCGTAGTTGTGAAAACGGGATAATAGATCGTTTATAGACAATTTTTGTCAATGGTTTTGGATATTGTTTTTCTTTGGTGACACAGAGAAAATAGATGAAAGTTCTGAAATATAAATCATGTGGACTATAGATAAAGGTTTAACGTGCCGCATAATTCTTTGAATATTTTCAATGAAAACGTGTATTTTAAGATGTCTGTTCCTTAAACTGAAAATCCGAGGGCGGGTTTGTACACCTATACGAATGTCAATTCTCCATCTACAGTTCAAACAAAATTGACTCCAATAAATTTATCGAAATTTGGCGTTTTTTAACACAAAGAGAGGAAAGCCACATCAAAATGGTGCATTTTTGACAACCCAGGCGAATTTTCCTAAAAAACACAACCCTGCATAATATGCTTTACTTGAGTCCGTATTTTAAATGGCGAAAATTCTTAACCCCATACCGTGAAGCAGTCTTTCTTTGGGGCTCTGCATGTAGCATTAACTTCGTGCTAAATTTAACACATTTGGAGGTGCAGTTTGTTGCATTTCTTCTTTTTTTTTTTTTTTTGCTTTTTTCTTCCTTTTAATGTGTATTATTTAGCGACCATTCCACATAAGGTCATGGCCAACTTCATAACCTGAATGCAAATTTTTCGTATCATGAAATGCAATCTAGAACATTGACTATCTTACATAAAATTAATTACTAAAATAAAATAAAATGAAATAAAATAAGATTCAATTGCTATTTTTTCATTATTTTACTGATGAAAAAAATCATTTATGGGGATTATGTTGAAATATGTCCGATATAAGTGTTAATGTACATTTATATCATAATCGTTCTGGTTGCCTTAACTGGGACATATAATATTTTATGTGAGGTAGGATTCATCAAGGGATGAACTATTACTATTCTCTTTATAACCATAGGTTTGTTTCTGTCTACATCCCAAAATACAAGAAAACTTGAGTGAGAGAAGTCTTAACTAGAAAAAAACCCATCTCATCAGGTGGTTTCATACCTTTCCGCAGTGATATTTGCTTGCACGCAAAATACTGCGTTTTCCAACTTGACAGCGTATGTTTTGCGAGGTCTATCTCAAACAGCAGTTCCGCGAGGGTTTTAGTGCTCCTTTTTCCAAAGATGTTGTCTGGAAAACCAAGGACATGAACTTTGCTGTGAAACGACTTGCACTCGGTCAGCATCTTTTCTTCCATAAACTTGATCTGCAAGTTTAAACGATGCAACTCTTGTAGTTTCGCGTCATAATCCGCAGAAGGTAATTTTTGAGCTGCGGCATAAAAGAGGGTGGTGGCTAGCACCGCTGAATAAAAGAGGTGGCTTGCTGACATCTTGGCTGTCTTGCCTCGTATGATGACGGTGGTTTGAATTACTGGTTTATATACCAGTGCTTTATCACATTCGTTTAATGGGCCAAGGCTTGGGGTTCGAAGTGGGGGTAATGTACCCTGTAGCTTTAGTGGCGTTATTTTAATGGATTTATCAGTTTGCTTCTACTAGTAAAAAGCAGACTGGATTATTAGAGTATTTATTACCCAGACAGTTGTTTTCTTTCTATCTTCAAAATTATTTGCTAAATAAACAACTGATCGCCTACTTGCGATGACATTTTTAGAGCACACCTCTGCGTGAGTTGCGTCAATCATGCCACGATGCCAAGATAACAAAGACATGTACATCTAACCAATCATTTTGCTCGTCATTTTTCTAATTGTGTTATCAAGCGCAAAGACAATTATTTACATAGGTGGATTCAAGTTCTGCTGTCGAGCCTAAATAAATAAATAAATAAAATAAAATAAAATAAAAAATAATAGTATGAAAATAAGACAATGTTAAAAATGGCAAACCCCGACAATTTTCAAATAACTTTTCCATGAACATCATTATGTGAAGTCTACAAGGAAAACAGTGGTTCCAAATGTGGGACACTTATTAATATTTGCAGTATAATAAAAATCATTTTCTTTTCAATACTTTGATGACTCTTTGTATAAGTACATAACAAACAGAACAGACATTCTTGTTTCCACAATTCTACAAATGAACATCTTAAAGCCATCCTGCACGTAGAGAGAAAGTCAGCAATAAAGTTATCTTTATGTGGAAATATATTATAGCTTAGAAATATTTTGGTGTTTTGCAGGTTCTTGTCGTGGAAACGTGTCACTCAGTTGGACTGTGCATCCTCGTCTTCCTCGTCCTTCCCTTTCTTGACATCATTCAAGGTTTGCTCATCATGCACGGAGTGGCGTTTATACCCAGCCTTCTTCAGCTTATCTTGCGCCCACGTGCCGAGGCCGAGAAGTACCGCCGTACACACATATTCTCAGACTCAGTAGCGATTCTAGTTCAGCTCTCAGCATTGTTTTTCGTCCCTACTCTGGAGACAGTATCAAGGAAAAATGCGACAGATACAGAGAGTTCTCTTTATCTGACCTATAATGAGTATGACAACTCTGCCATTACCCCGGCCATTAGAATGTGGCTCGTACCCGTCTCACTATTTCTCATTTCTTTATCTTGGTGGGAAAACTTTGTGTGGATTGACCGCAAATCTAGCAAATTCAGCAATCTCCCAGACCGCAGTTTCATCCACAAGGCTTTGGTAAAACATAAGAGAAAAATACGCCAGGCGAAGAACAAAATATACTTTTTCATAAGTGCGTGGAAGTTGGCTATAACCCCGGTACTACTTCTGGCACTGCTCGTCAGCACAAACAGTCTGGACGTATTTTCGCTGTTCCATTTGGATTTCCAACGATGTAAGGGAACTGACAATCAGGACATCGAAGGAGAACCTTATTTTTCTACAGCCACTTGGGAAGCAGGTATTGCCATGCTGATACAGGTGGGTGACAAATCAGTCCAACTGTAAACCATACAGTCGAAATGTTCAAATTTTTATTAAAAAAATTTTTGTTGAAAAATTATTCCCCACTTTAACAGATATTGAAACGTAGCCTACGTTTGCATCATACCAGGTGTGCTGTAGTCTCGTCTGCTGGTACTGCGCTAAAACGGCCTGTAAGATACAGATGCAGCGGGTTAGTTTTGCTGCTCCCCTATCGGTGGCGACACCTGTCGCAGTTGCCATACTCATCGGCCTTGGCTCGGATGAGAACAAGTCGTATTCCTCTGTAAGTTTACCAAACATGTCTTCAATTTTGATTTATTCGTTTCTATGGCTTTCCGCTTTAAGTTGACACGTTTGCAAACAAACGACTGAATATTAAGAATGATTTTAACACCAAAATAAACAGAACAGTGTGTGAATAGATCAGGGCTTATATAGTGTATATTTTCCAGGTTTCACTGCTCAAAACACATTTTGCACTAAGTGGAATTGCTAGTAACCATTAACTTGAATAAAATAGCCACATACAACAGATGAGGAATGTTCGCTCTTACTTTTTCAAAGGACATATCGATGTTTTCTACAAGATCTATCGATCATTAGTTCTGAAGAAATTGTTGAAGGCATGATATAATTTCGCGCCAAAATACACTATGTCCACACTGATTTACAGCCTAACGTCAATTTGCTTTTCCAGCTGATCACTAATCATCTGGAGTGGAACTTTCCCGACTTTACCACCGACTTGAGCGAGAGATACCGCTGGCTGTGGATATGGATAATTTGGTGGCCATCACTTGCATGGATAACTTTTTATATCTGGATGCCAAGATCTGAACGGCTGGCCAAGGGAGAGAAGTAAATAATCTCTCTCTCATTTTCGCTCTCTCTCTCTCTCTCTCTCTCTCTCAATTGATATACATAGATAAAAATAACAAGAAATAACGAAAAGGTTATTGCTGTAATTGAAATTGAAGTTTTAAAAGAAAAATGTGTATTAATTAGTAAAAGTCAGAAAGAAAGATATGTATATATGTCTGCTTTATGCGTCAGTGTGCTGAAAATTTTCTACCGTGTAATATGATAAAATGAAAAAAAAATACTTGATCATTTTTGCAACAGGTTGTTTGTGAAACCGTTCAACTGCAGCATTCTTCTAGAACAGGACATGAAGCTGAACCGGCGCCGAGACGACAGGGAGTTTATGAGGGATGAGAAGGTGGGTCACGTGCTTCTGCAATCATAAAGTGATGTCATGTGATGGCATAGCGTTTTGCAACGGGACAACATGGCATTTTTGGTTTTAGTTTTTTTTTTTTGGGAAAAGTTAGAGTTTACGACATTTCTCTCTAATAGAGCCGTTTTATGGATTGCGTATTGAGGCTTTTTTGACACCAAGCACTACATACAGTATTTTACCTCATTTATTAAACTTTCAGAAAAAAAAACTAAAAAATGTGTAACTTCGTGCCCACATTAAATGAAAGCAAACTAAAAGATGATTGAAAATGAATTTTTAATTGAAAAGTGAAATATTCTAATTCATTTGTTAGGTACGTGATTACATGCGCGTGGAGGAGGTAATGAACAACCCGAAATCGTTCGACGACACCCGACGTGTTTATACCGCTTCTGTAGCAAGGCGAAACCCCAAGACCCCCTTGATCTACATTTGCGCCACCATGTGGCACGAGACGGAGAACGAGATGTTACAGATGCTGAAGTCAATTTTCAGGTAAGTTAAATTATCATAAAAAGAATAGACAAGAAATAGGGGGCATATAAGTTCGTACCCCTAAGTTAACCCAACTAGAAAAATGGAATTAAACCCCGAGTCGAAATCTGATTCAGAGCGAGCCATATCCGACCAAAAGGGCGGTTGTTTCGACAACCCTTGCCACCGAGGGGGGGAGAGGTTGTGTGTACGAACGTTTTCGTTTTTGTTAATAGTTGCTTGAGCATAATAAAATGCAGTTAACATTTGAATTCATAATAAGTTTGCGTCGATAGTGTCACTTCAGCTGCATGTATGTTGGCGAGAGCTTGTACGACATTGATTTTTTAGAAGTTTTTTTTACTTTAATTAAAAAAACATTCAAATGATAAAAGGTCTTTATTTTTTGTTTCGCCTGAAGACTTGACATGGACCAGTGCTCCCGTCGCCTGGCGCAGCAATATCTCGACGTAAATGACCCGGATTACTATGAGTTTGAAGGTAAAAACTCAAATTAAAATTTTGTTTTTGTTTTCCGTTTTTGATATTGTCGGAGAGAACGGCAAGGGTGCTGGGTTAAATCTCTGATGAAAGAGAAAGAAAAATGTCAAGAGAAAGAAATATTGTTTAGATGTAAGAAATCTGGTTACGCAAAGAATAAAATTACTAGACCAAATGTACGATACATAATAAATGTACAATTTCAGGAGACCTCGATTCAGTTCCTCAATAACAGTATAACATCAAATTTCTTCAAAATATTTATTTTTCCTTTACTTCAATCATCCATATTCAATAATATTGCACGATAAGCCACTCTATTTAATCTGTTCAGGTCACATTTTCTTTGATGACGCGTTCACTCCTCATGCGGATGGCAACTCTAACTACACAGTGAACGATTTTGTCAAACTATTGGTTCGTGTTGTGGACATTGCTGCCAGGTATGAGCCTTGGCTGACATTACTGATTTCAGACTTATGTAGTGCAATACAGATGGCAAAGAGAAAATAATCTGACTGAAAATAGAAAATTGTTAACCATACATTCTCTTTGTCTTTATACAGCATATGGCCATTTATATCCAGTTACTATTTTTCATACTGATATCAGCCTATTTAAAAATTAATACTGACACACACCAAATTGTTATTTGTTTCCTTTATTACAGGAAGTAGCAAATTTCATCATTATCACATAAATATGGCATTACAACATCCCAACAATTATTCTATAAAACAAAATGACCACCTAAAATCATAGAACTTCTTATCTTCAGCTCCATACATCGAATTCCAATGTCCATCACTCCTCCTACAAAGATTCCAACTCCGTATGGGGGTCGTCTTGTATGGCTGCTACCTGGTGGCAATAAGTTGGTGGCACACCTTAAAGATAAAGCAAAGATACGACATAGAAAAAGATGGAGTCAGGTAAATTTAAAATAATTAACATTTTATTGTACACTAACATTATTTTTGATAATTTGAACTAATTTAATAGGCAAACACGTTTCAATTTTTTATATGTAACGTTAATTTGATAATTTCAGGTGATGTATCTCTACTATTTCTTGGGTTATCGCCTGATGCAGAAGGTAGAAAACGTAAACAAAGTTGGAAAGCTGGCTGAAAACACGTTCCTCTTGGCTCTTGACGGCGACGTTGATTTCCAGCCTTCTGCCGTTCAAATCCTGGTGGACTTGATGAAGAGAAATGAAAACGTGGGGGCTGCATGCGGTCGTATTCACCCTATAGGATCAGGTATGAACGAAATGAAGTCGTTAAAGAAGAAGGCAAATAGTTTATTTTGGAACTATTCAGCAAAGTCTACCTTTCTCGTACATGTTTGCTTTGGTGGAAAAGTTTAACATGTTGTGTTTTAGCCCACAGGATTGAAAACAGGCGAACAGGGGTACTTATATTTTGTTTCAAAAATTAGCAACCAATCATTATCACCTACTTCTGTTAGGTATTTAGTGAAATTAACCAGTTCAGTTTCTCATTTTTGTTTTAGGTCCTATGGTTTGGTACCAGAAGTTCGAATATGCCATCTCTCATTGGTTCCAGAAGGCAACGGAACATATGATTGGTTGCGTTCTCTGCAGCCCCGGATGTTTCAGTTTGTTTCGCGGTTCTGCTCTCATGGACGACAACGTAATGCGGAAATACGCGACTACTCCCACCGAGGCTGTGCACTACTTACAATACGATCAAGGTATGCAGAACGACAATGATTCTTTGAATAATCCTTACACAATATTTTTATATACAAAATGCGCCTTATATTAATTTTTCATGAATTAATCGCTAAGTGAAAATTGAGTTTGATTTCAGTATGAACTGAATGTTGATGCAGTGTTGAACACAAACAGTTTACGCTTGATCAGCAATTTCAAATTCATATGACTTTGGTAAATGGAAAAACAAAAAAAAAAGTTTCATTGGAGAGCGCCGTACAACGTTTCCCCATTGTAGATTAAAAAACGGTTGAGGTGAATCGCATAAGTAGCTATCCAGATAGATCCAGACTTGAAGAGAAATTAAATCTCAGCACAAAAAGAAAATCTCCTCTCTATTTTCGCGCTAGGTGAAGATCGTTGGCTGTGCACCCTATTACTTCAACAAGGATACCGCGTGGAGTACAGTGCTGCTTCTGACGCTCTTACCTACGCTCCAGAAACCTTCGACGAATTTTTCAACCAAAGAAGACGTTGGTCACCATCCACTATGGCTAACGTTATGGACTTGCTCCTCAGTTTCAAACACACCATCAAGGTACGTGTATACTGTCGAACTCTCTTCCTTTCTCTCCTCCCTTTCTCTGTCTCCCCGCTCTCTAAATGCTATGCTTAAAAATTGTGGATTTTGCCACTTTTTCTTCATTCTATAAAGGTTTGAAGATGGAAATAATATACGACTACTTTGCTTTTATATAAAAATTTTAATTGATTGAATAAACGTTTCAGTTATTGCTATAGATTTCGTCGATATCGCAACCATATTCCCTGGAAGTAATGGTCAACAGTCTAGCTGTCCTAGTTGTGTTGAAGTGATGTTATTTATTACCACAAATTAAAATTATCCCATAGCAAAGGGATATCCAAGACAATACGAAATGCAGTTTTAACTGTTCTGTTAAAACAGAAAGCGACAATCAAACAGAACAATTTGTTGACCTTCAAAATGTCACCAACATCACAACGTATATGTAATATGTTGGTTATTCAGGTGAACCAGGACATCTCCATGTTATACATCATCTACCAAGCCTGTCTCATGGTGTCCTCCATCTTGGGACCGGGAACAATTTTCTTGGTGGTTGTAGGAGCTTTCCAAACTATCCAGATCGGACAAAGCGGACAGTTGGGGGATATTACGTCCTTCGTCGTAAACCTGGTGCCCATCGTACTCTTTATCATATTGTGTTATGTTACAACTACGAAGACTCAGGTTGGTGTTTTTTGTTGTGTATGCAAACTGAAGACTGGAACATATGTTCGTAGATTCACATATTGACGTTAATATTGTATCAAAACATACAGAAAAATTTTTAATGTAAACGATATTCCTTGTACTAAAGTAGACAAAAAGAGGTTCATAAACGGGTTTAATATGGATTCTAAAGTTTAGAACTTGGTGGAAAAAATGGAGATAAAAATTATATAAAAAATTTATAGCAATTTGTTCAGTCCTATAAACATTAAGAGGCACAAATGACTTTTTGCTGCCCGTCATGTAATCAGTGGAATCGGTTTTTATTGGAATATTTGATCAATTTATTTTTCAGCTATTTGTAGCAGCCATAATGTCTTCTATTTACGCCTTGGTGATGGCACTGGTTCTGGTCAGCATCAGTCTGCAGATAAGTGTACAAGGACCGTGCTCCCCTACCGCCTTGTTCTTTTTCCTTGTGGCTGGCGCCTTTCTATTGGCTGCTATCCTCCATCCTCAGGAATTCGCCTGTGTGTTCGCCGGTGTGTTGTATTATCTGCTCATTCCCAGTATGTACCTGTTGCTTTTTATATACTCCATGTGCAACCTGCACGTGGTCTCATGGGGCACGAGAGAGGTCAAGGTTGCAGAGATGCCAACTCCCAATAAAGGCAATCAGCAAGCCAAAAACACGAAAGAGAAGACAGATAACTCAGCCAGTGCTGCCTTGATGAAACTTTTCAGCTCAGCGACGGCGGAAAAGGGCGAGGATGGGTTCAAATTTACGTTTGGAAAACTCTTCCGGTGTATCTGCTGTCCACGTGACAATGGTGAAGGCGTGAATCAAAAGTTGAACGGCTTGTTTTCTCGCATGGAAGAAATGGAGAGGAAATTGCTGAATCATAAAACGGCAGTGGTTGCTGGAAGAGGTGATTTTTTTCTTTAATTTTTATGTTGATTTCGCGTGAACAAAAGTTGCTCAAATATTACTGCAATTGGCACCCTTTTGGACATATTGTGGGAAGTATATAAAAATGTATAAATGCATAAATGTTGCTTGTGCAAAACGTCTTTCATTTTCCGAATATTTTTGTCGCATATTATTTAAATAAATAAAGTCATTTCTATTTGAATCATTTTAATTTTAATTGGTATCGTGACATTATTCACAAAAGGATGTTGGTTTCTCTTTCAAAATATATTTCTTTAATGCCATCCAGGTTTGTCAGGCTCCACAGCAGAGAGTAATTTACGTGTGCGCACCGGGAGTATGGTGGAAGATCGTCGACCGTCTTTTACGATGGAGAACGAAGACTTCCCAAAATTAGATATCTTGGAAGAGGACGTGTTTACCGGTAGGTTTGTCTTTTGTTGTATGTAAAAATTTTATATCAGTTTTATTTTAAGCAAAAAACATAAAAAACAATGGTCGAATAGAATGTGATATTAATCACTGTTCGTACATTAAATACCAGTAAAATTACAATCTTATAAAGTAATTAATGTTCAGTTATTTGACATTGTTTGGGGCCAGTATATTCTTAAATACTTGTAGAGCCATTAGGTTTTAAAGTTTTTGGTACTATCTAAAAGAACAACAACGACAACATATATGTCCAAAGCAATTACAATATTCATGTTTGGAAAAGGAGCCGTTGAAATATTACGTGACTTTACATCGATATATTTCCAAAACCTGCTATGATCCTCCACATTGTTTTCAAATCCTTTTTTCTACTTTCTTATTGTTTTTTGTTGTTTTGATCCAGTTAACCCAATGTATGAGGAAGAAGAACGCGACGAACTCGTCAATCCATTGTGGACGGAGGACAAAGGCCTTAAGGACGGGCCTATAGTTCTCCAAGAAGAGGCAGAGACACAATTTTGGCAAGAGCTCATCAAACAATACTTGTATCCCCTGGAAAACGACCCAAAGCACCAGGAGCACATGGCTGCCGAGCTAAAAGAACTGCGCAACAAGGTCACATTCGCCATCTTTCTTCTGAACGCCATTTTTGTGGTGGTAATCTTTGTGCTTCAAACGCAAAAAGAAGATGAGAACGGACACGGACTTTCTCTTCCTTGGCCTTTCCAATGCGGCAATAGTCCCCCTTCCAAGCCCGTGAAGTTGGAGCCTATCGGGACGGTTTTCTTGATATTCTTCCTGTTGGTTCTCCTTATTCAACTTCTTGGGATGATAGCTCATCGTCTGCTGACCTTCTGGCACATCATGTCTACAACCCCCGTCTCAGGAAAATTCGATCAAACCGCCGCAAAAATCGCTCTTGTGCGCGACTTACAACGTCTTCCACAGGGCGATGACGATTCCGACAGAATGTCGGTGTGCAGCTTCACTTCCGGTGCCTCCGACGAAGAGTTCAATTTCGCCAGAGAGAGGAAGAAGTCATTCGCGAAACACATCAAGAAAAAGAAGAAGACAGTTAAGGAGGGGTACGCCACTATGAATAAAGCATTTGTAGACCGCTTCTTGGCATTGTCCGACCAAGGGCCTGAGAAACTTCAGCAACAACATGGACGGCGGAACACAATGACTGCCAGCTACCAGGATCGTAAACGCAAGCAAGCTCTAGCAAGCTTAGCCGATGAGTGGGACCAGGTGTTCCAAGAAGAGAAGATTTCCAAATTACGTAACAAGTGGAAAGGGGCAGCTAGAGCCATCCAGCTCACCCGAGCGTTTCAACTGAAGAAAGCTGTCAAGGCGCAGAACATTGAAACTATTAACGAGTCGGCGGAGGGCTCGGCAAGCGGCACGTTTAATATACCGGTTGTTGTGACAGGACCAGACAAGGAGTATGATAACCCTGCGTTCGAAGGAGAGGAAGGACTGTATGCTGACATACCTGAATCTGACCCCGCTCTCATACCAGGGTCTAGTCCTGCCCACATACCTGGTTCAAGCCCCGCCGACATACCTGGATCTAGCTCCGTCGACAT